CCCTCCGCCAGCCGTGCGCCCCCACGGCCCGGCCCGGGGGCTGGTGGCGGCCGCGGGTCGTGCCCCGGGGTGTTCCCCGGGTTTTATGGCGGCACTGGAGCGGGGCGGTTGGAGCCCGGTGTCTCCCCGGGCTTCAGCCGCTCGCCCCTGCGTTGGCGGCTGAGCGGCAGAGTTATCAGCATCTCACTAAACCGTCGGTGTCAAAGCTAGAGATTTAAAAGCCACGTTTAAAGAAGAAAGTTTATGGTGAAAGTCTGTGGTGCCGTGTCGAGGTAAAGCTGTGTTGTCACTTGATGAAGGTAACCCCCGCGCGAGGCGGTTCTGGGGTGAGGGAACTTCAGGGCTGCGTGAAAGAAGCGGTGTGGAGAAGCGTGGGGACGTTACATCTGCATCCACCCACATTGTGCTTCATCAGCTTGCCTATAAGATGGTTTCTTGTTTTCTTAGCTGTTGTAGGATTTTCTTCTAAAACTTTTGCTTGCAACCTTATGCATTAATCCCCATGTTTTTTAGTGTCTGTACATACTGCTTTTTCTGCCCCAGGGCATTTGCCTCATGGATTCTCCACTCTGTGTTCTTCCTCTGCCTTCTTTCTGCTCACTAGCTCCTAACCCACCTCCAGCACAACCCCTGGGTTATCCAACAGAAATCTCAGGTACTAAGAGCATTCCTCCAGGCATTGTAGAGCCAGGCACCGGAGAAAATGCAGGAACTGGTTGATTTTACAAGGGCAAGGTGTTGCCCATCAGCAGGACAGCATTGGTGTGGAGGCTCCTGCTGAACAGCTCAGGGTGTGGTTTTTGGTCATTCTTCCTATCAGCGTGCTCTGATGAGCTTTTTCTTTATCCTACCCTATAAATATTAATATCTATGCAGTCTGCAGATTTTGAGCAAGTTGAGAATGTAAGGAAAGGAACATTTGCAGGATAGTTTTTAGCAAGAAACGTTCACTGTATATTTGTATAAGTTGAGTATGTGATATTTATATTTTTCATGCAAGTGCTCATAAAAATGTCACATTTGAGTAGGGAACTGAGACATGCATCAGCAGAAAAAACGGAGAAAAAAACTTGATCATTGTTTTCAAGATCAAGTAAATAATGCATATGAAGTGATTTTAGTATTTTTTTCCTTTTCTGTTGGAAAAGGAAACTGGTGTTCCTGGCTTTAGGAAATGATGATGTCAGTTTATTCAAGCATAGGGAGACATAATACATACTGTTCATCAGATGTTGAGCAAATCAGTCCTTGTGTCTTTCCTGCCGGTAGACTGTCACTCTTGCTGCTTAAGTTTATAAAGCACTTTGAGATGTGATGATGGAAGGGCATTAGGTAAATCTTTCAGTGCAGGTGAGGGGGAGGATGGCAACAACTTCCTAAAACTTGTGCTTTCTATGAGCTGATTCAATGACTGGATTTAGCACTTTCACTTTACAAATTACTGATAACGGTACAATAATTAGGGATTCTGTTAAAGTGAAATGACAGGTCTAAGCTTTAAAAGAAGTAGTCTTGTGTATTCTAGTTGAGAATTGTCCTCTTAAGGGCTTTTATCTCTGCATGCCTTAGGCAACTGAAGTATGGTTGTGTTGTTTTCTTTTGTTTTCCAGATCCATAAGAATGTGTGTTGGGTTGATCCTGGCTGGATGCCAGGTGCCCACCAAAGCCACTCTCTTGCTCCCTTAACTGGACAGGAGGGAGAGAATATAATGAAAGGCTCATGGGTGGAGATAAGAACAGAAAGATCACTCACTGTCAAAACAGACTCAACTTGGGAAAATTAATTTATTGACAATCAAATTGGAGTAGGGTAATGAGAAAGAAAAGCAAATCTTAAAACATCTTCCCCTCATCCCTCCCTTCTTCCCGGGCTCAACTTTGCTCCTGCCTTCTCTACCTCTTCCACCACAGCAGCTCAGGGGATGGGGGTTGTGGTCAGTTCATCACCCACTGTCTCTGCTGCTCCTTCCTCCTCAGGGGGAGGACTCCTCACACTCTTCCCCTGCCCCAGTGTGGGGTTTCTCCCACAGGAGACAGTCCTCCACAAAATTCCCTGGCATGAGTCCTTCCTATGGGCTGCAGTTCTTCACAGACTGTTCCATCATGGATCCCTTCAACAGGGTTCAGTCCTTCAGGAACAGACTGCTCCAGCACGGGTCCCCCATGGGGTCACATGTCCTGACAAGCACCTGCTCCAGCATGGGCTTCTCTTTTTTCAGCAGGGCCACAGGTCTTGCCAGGAGTCTGCCCCAGTGTGGGCTTCCCACAGGGTCACAGCCTCCTTCAGGCACCCACCTGCTCTGGCGTGGGCTCCTCCACAGGCTGCAGGTGGAGATCTGCTCCCCTGTTACCTCCATGGGTGCAGGGCACAGCTGCCTCTCCAGGGTCTGCACCATGGGCTGCAGTGGAACCTCCGCTCTGGCACCTGGAGCACCTCCTCCGCCTCCTCCTCCTTCTTCACTGACCTTGGTGTCTGCAGAGCTGTTTCGCTCACATATTCTCACTCTCAGGCTGCAATCGCTTTCCCTCGTATTGTTTTTTTTCCATTTTCTTAAATCTGTTATCCCAGAGGCACTACCACTGTCACTGATGGACTTGGCTTTGGCCTCTTGGAGGCAGCTGTCATTGGCTCTGTCAGGCATGGGGAAAGCTTCTAGCAGCTTCTCACAGAAGCCACCCCTTGTAGCCCCCCTACTACCAAAACCTTGCAACACAAACCCAAAAGAAAATGTGAATATAATGGCTGATGGTTTCAATGTATATTGTCTTTCTGTATTGTTTCTTTGTCTGAACTGTCATTTCAGGAAAATGATCTCTATAACTTTCATTTTGATTTGGATTTGATGTCTTGGGACTCAGACCTTTGGAATATTACAGGCCATGCTTATACAGGTAATTAACCTTCTGTATTTTGTGGGGTGGGGGTGGAATAGTCACACCTCAAGAGTGAGCTTTTACGACTTAAGGATAGTGCTAACTTATGTGAAACTATTTGATTCCGTACAGCATTTAGCTCTGTGATGAGCTGTCATGCTGTGTTTCTGTAGGATGGGTACAGCTGGTGAGGACTGCCCTGCAAGCTAAGCTGTTCAGTATCTTTAATCTTGCTATGTTTTCTGATGTGCCTTGCTTCAGGAATTAAATAGGTGGTGTAGGGCAACATGTTCTTTACTGATCTCCTATTGCTAAAAACTTGTACAGTAAAATTTCTTTATCTGCCTCTTGTAGATGCAAGCTTGAAGACAGAACCTTTATCACCAGCCACTTCAAATTGTTCAGTCCCTTCTCCATCATCTGTGGACTCTCCAGTGCAGAATGTGCCTGTATGCAGAAACCTCCATGTAACACAGATAGCAGCAGTCACTTAGAACCAGCTGTGGCAAAAAAAAAAAAAAAAAAAAAGCCCAGTGATTTACTTGTCTGATCAACTTCATGGCATAAAAGGAAACAGCTAATTTTTCCAACCTTTACAAAAACAACTTCATTTCAGTGGTGTTTTATTTCTTCTGCTGTAACCCATTCTAAAAAGACATGGTTCAATTCTGTTTCCTCATTTCTGTTTATTAGCCTGTTGCCAAACAGAATGCCTTCTAAAGGCTTCTGAGTCTAGCAGTTATTGACCTCTGCCTCCCATCACTCTGCTGACAGGGAGAAGTACTTGTTTGGTTTTCAGCGGTACTTAGCATTTACCAGAATAAAACTGCAGAACAAAACCTACCTCCTGTTTTCTGCAGCAGCGATACAGATGTGATGAAAGGCAGCTATGCTCTAAACTGCTAGGATACACTTTTATGTGTTTCTGTATCATTAATCTCATGTACTTGCTGTCTGCAGGATGATGTGGACTTCAGCTGTAGCTCCCAGATGTCTCCCATCTCTCTCTACAGCAAGAGTTGCAGAAGTCCTGCATCCCCTGCGGGAGATGGAGGCAAGAAGCCTACTGTCAGCATCACTTCTCGGTCTGGTATGAGATCAAGTTACTTTGATTCTGTAGATAGTATGTGTATTGTCTTGCATACGAGTGTTTAACTGATAGACACTAGTATATCCTGTCATTTCTGACTTGAATTTGTGATCTTTTAACAAATATTATAGATGGGTTAAAAAAAATACCAGAAGCCTTGTTATTACTGTTTGAATTCTTTATTTTATATTTTCTGGTCCAACTCTGACTTTTTTCTTTCCTAGCAAATAATTCTTCTGCGAGGACCCTGAAGAGATGTAGTCAGACAGCGTCCAGGCCTTTGATCCAACCGAAGCCCCTTTTGCCTGCTGTACCTGAAGCTCAGGCTAATATTGGCATCCCAGCTAAAACCATCATTATTCAGACTCTTCCCACGCTTGTGCCACTGCCAAAGCATCAGCCAGTTGTTAACATCCAGCCAGCACCTCCTAAAGGTAGGTGGATTGTCCTGACTGAGCCAGGTCTTGGGGGTAAACACTATGTCTGTTTGGGACGGTTGCTAGAATGAAGTTAGATTTGGTGGGTGAAATGAGGGGTAGGAGGAGAAAGAGAGGTCCTACATGCTTTACTGAAAAAGCTTTAGGCTGAGCAGATGGCCTTAATCCTCTCTCATATAGTCCTATGAGAAAGAGCACTCACCTGGGAATTATGTGGAATGGAAGACTGTATAGCAAAAGAGACTATGCTGAGCACTGTCAGCTGTGGAGGTAAAACTTCTGGTTTGGAAGGATCTCTCTGGGGCCCCTTTGCTCTGCTCTACTTGTGATGGCAAGTGGTGCATAAGGTGATTACAGTGTTATTCTATTGTAACCAGAGGCAGAATTAGTTAGAATGGCTTGAATGAAGCTTGAAAGCTTAGGAGGAGTGATAAAAGCTTTATTTTACCCACATGAAACTGACACAGAGTTTATGGGAACATGAGCTTACGGCTTTTTATCTGACTAAAGAGCATTAAATAGGATGTGAAATCTGCTAAAAGTTGAGAGCCATGTCATATGTTAGAAAAGTTGCTTACAGCTCCGAGGTAGTTAACAAGAGGCAAGTTATTTCCTGTGCACTGATAATTCTTCATTCCTCCATTTTCCCTGTAACATTTCTGAAATAACTTGAGCCTTCATTTCTGAATCCAAAGCATTATTTTACTCTTCAGCTAAGGGAGTAGGGTCATGCATTGCTGAGATTATCAGATGCAGTTGCTTGTTTTCACCAGCTGATGGCTCCAGAGGATTGCAGTTGTCTACACAGGCACTGAGATGTGGAAGGAAACGGAGACAGATACTTAAGGGCACGTATGTAGAAATTATTACAATAGTGAAAAATTTGTCTTCGTTACTAATTACTCTTCCATTAGGAGTTAAGCCAAAGATGGAGATGCTGACATTTGTTACAACATGCCTAAGATTCTTAGACCGCTTAAAATGCAGGTCAGCACAGTCAGTGTGACCTAATTCTTATTCCTTCTGATGTTCCAGCTGATAAAATGCCATCTGGAGTAAGGAATGCTGGGGATATGGATTTTTTGGCTATAAGTATAGTACTCTGAAGATCAGCTGCTTCTTTTCCCTGGAGAAAAGTCAGGAGAGTAGTTTCTGTAAGGCATTATAGAGGAAATACTTCTGAGAAAGTATTTGCATGCCATGTATTTACTTTAACTGATGGTGTGCTTAAAAATCCTGTTGTGCCACTACCATAACAAAAACCATAAGGATCTTTTTCATTAATCAAAATTCCCTGGACGTGACAAGTTGGAGCTACCATTTTGAAATATGCCATTATCTTCAGAGAAGCATGAGGAATGATATTTTTACAGTCCTTTTCATAAAAGCTTATGGAAGAAAGCATGATCTTGGAGGGTCATGTACTTTATGCACTAAAAAATTGTTGAAATAATCTCAACATCTGAGGTTCTTAAATAGGGTAGTACTAATTTATGATGTCTTCGAGATTATCTGTACAAAACAGGAGATCTAATCCTACACCTCATTCATAAAAGATCTTAGTGCTAGGTAAATTACTTAATTTTTCGCCTTCCAGAGGTTGGGTAAATGCTGTAATACATTGTCATGCATTTTGGTTGGAATGCTCAGATGGAACGTGCTGTTTCTGAAAGCTGGCAAGTTCATCCTGTTACAAAGGGTTAGAGAGACATTCATGTGTTTTCAGACAACAGAATATTACTCAAGTACCTGCTTGAGTAAAATGTAGTTCTTGGACTGAAATTTCTTGGAAGTGATTGTTTTTAATTCCATTTCAAACTCTGTCAAAATTACCTCATTTTTTCTGCTTGCTCTTCTTTAAGTTCTGTTAGGCTTGTGCATAAAATTTCTTACATAAGACACTTAAAAAAATTTGCTCATGTGTTAGTGTTAATTGAGGCTTTAACTTATATTTTGAAAGTGTAACTTGCATTGTTCTTTCTTGTTCATCTACCTTCTCTATGCTGTTTCTGAGTTGTTTTGAATAGTATGAGTCACTTCTGTGTAGTAAATTTCCCATTGAATACAGCAATAAAGTAGGGATGACAAAAGGGAGGAGGATTAGGTAAGCTGGTTAAATTCTTGAAAAAATTGCTCAAAGTGCATCAAGTGTTAGCAATACTGAAATGAGTAATGTTTCTAACAAGTATTGACTTTTGGGAGAGAGCTTGATTCATTGGATCCCTTTAATATGTGTGGTTTTGTTTTGCAGGATGGATTAAGAGCCCTGCAAACTTTTCAGCTTTTCTTTTTTTTCTCCCCCATTCCTATCCTGTGGAATATACTAATGCTGTAGGATTGGTCCTGAGATAAATTGTGCAGAGCATGAGAGAAAGCAAATCTTTCTACCTCCTGTATTGGAGGTCATGTACAAACCAATTTCATGTCATATGCCGAGTACTCCTGTTTGTTCTTGTGTTCTAGGTCAATCGGTGGTGCTCCCCCAGCCCACTGTGGTACAGCTCCAGGCTTCTGGGGTGCTTCCTGCCTCCCAGCCAGTCATTGCTGTCACTGGAGGGACCATGCCATTTCACAATCATAGGGTGAATACGTTGCCTCCAACTGCTGGAAATGGCTCAACGAACAGCAAAATACCAGTGACTAAGCCCTTGCTTCAAAGTACCACACCAGCAATTGGGACAGATGTAAGTTCTGACTGTGATATAGCTAATAGCCAAAGCTTGGAAACGGTTTTCAGTTACCTCCATGTGGGATATAATGGGAGAACTGGGTCACTTTAGAGCCTCAGGAAGACAGAGCTGTAGTTGGGCTTGTCTAATAGGATTTCTAACAGTAAACAGGGAATTCAGCAGCTTGTCAAAAAATGAGGAGGAATAGCTTCTTATCTGCTTGCCTGCCTGGAGTTGCTGACCAGGTATGCAAGCATTGTGGCAGAAGACAGTGCTGATGCTTTTTTTTTTTCTTTGCTTGTCTTCTCAACTGCAAGCTCTTAATGGCTGGAGCTCTCTTACATGCAGGAAGATCTGATATATCTGATTTTTGATTAGTGCTAAACCATTTTTCTAATCCGTATAATAAAAAACAGTCTTTTGGAAGTAGATGAATTGGAAGTGTCAGCAGTAGGCCTGATTCATTTTCCATCTCCCTTATCTCTCCAGATTTTACTCTTGATTTTTAGAAACTTCAAATATTGAGTTTCATATGATCTTAATCACTTCAGGCTTCCTTTTGGTCATATACTATATGAGTAGAAAAGGGGTAAGCTCTCAAAAGTCACTGTGCAGATAAATAAGTTTTTCCACAGTAGCTCACAGTAAACAGTAGGTGTGAACAGAAATAGCTTTTCAGATGTGTGAAGTTTTTTTCCCTTTCAGCTTTGACATATTAACTAGCTAGCAAGGTGGGTGTTAACTTGATTTAGTTCCTAGTAGTTTGGAGCTGCTTTTGGTTGCATTTTGTTTTCCAAAGGAAGGTGGTGTTGTGGAAAGTACTGAAGTTTCTTGTTTGTGGCTTTTAAACTCTCAGGGTGTCATTCTCCAGTGTGGTATTCCAAGCACAGTTGTCATGAGCTGAGGGTCCTATCACATCTCTCAGTGTGAGGGAGAAAACACTAGTGTCCATTCACATGAAATTTTGCAGTATAGTCACCTGCTTATTAGCAGCACAGGACACTGTTTCTTAAAGGCATGTGCCTTCTGGCTGCTTTGGAGGGATGTCATCGTATGGTTTCCTAGTGGCTGAGAATTGCCACTTGTGCTTGATGTCAAATTTTCCTCTCTATTCATGTTTGTGTGGGGGCTGCATTTTTCAATGAAAAATTGTTTGCTACAAATAATTCAGCAGCCCAGACTGCAAGGGAAACCTAATCTTGAATTTGAAGAAGCTAACAAAGGTCTGTCAGCAGACAGACCAGTTAAGAGTGCTGCATTTTTAAACAATAATTGCCTGCCGTGCACGGCTGAACTGACCTGACAGCAGTCATTAGTTTTGTGACTCCCCTGTAATCAGGACTAGTGTGGCACCATGCCATTATCTGAATACAAGGTTTAATTGACAAAACCCCCTTCATATACACATCTGTGACAGTAGTCAAATGAGTAGCTAGAGTAACGAATAGCTGTTTTGAATGATGGTTGTGTGGATATTTCCACCTGAAGATGGTTTAGACAGGCAGTTTTTAGACTCGGTATCAACCTAAATGCTATACGTATTACCTGTGTTTATTGAAACATGAAAAAACAGTTGCAACTGCTCTTTGGCACATACTGTGTAATAGCACTTTGGAAAAGAACAAGTGTTTCAGGATACAGCTGGCGCCAGCAGGGTTAAAACATCTTGCGGCTGCCATAGATGCCACATGTGGCTCTCAGAGCTGCACAGAAGTAGCTGTCATTTGAGCTCTGTCACACGTGGTTTTGTTTGCTAATCTAAGCAGATGCTGCAGGATAAAAAGAAACACTGCAGGACTTTCTTTCCGGCTTAGGAGGGATAAACTGTTAGTTTTAACTCTGAGCCTTTCCAATGGATTAGACTGAGATTGGCTGATAGCAAGCTGTATGCGTGAGGCCCTACGATGTGCTTGTCCTCGTGGCACACTTTAACACAGCTGCCAGCCTCAGGGAAGTGCTAGGCCTTCCAGTGTGGTCACTGTTCACCAGGAAATTGGTGAAGAACTTTCTGCTAGGAAACTGGACAAAAGAAACGCTATCTAAGCAAGCCACTCTTCTGGTTGAAGGAAAGGGAGTCTTGATTAAAAAAGCAGATTGCCTTTTCTGTTGCAATTAAATGATATGAGGACATAAATGGTAGGTGTGTGAGGGACTGCAACTTAGTTGTGTCCTTACAGGGCCTTTCTCTCATGTTTCCACTCTGTAGTGAAGAAGGGTTTAATTTTGCCTTCCAGTTCTGTTGATAAAAAAAATATTGAAAATTTAGAAAAAAATTAGATTACACAAAATAACTTCAACATATGTATGGATTTTTATTAAAGAATCCCATTTTCTGTGCTGTACATTGGATAATTTTTATATGAAATAAACTAATTAGTCAAGTTGTTCTGTTGAGTTAGAGGCAAAAAAAGCCAGTCATAATAACAGAGAAGACACTTGCATGGCTTTTGTATTTCTGCATTTAAGATGCATCTTCGAAGACAGCAGCTTTGATAAGCTGAGGTAAGAAGCCAGCCAATGTAAAGTGGAAATGGTTTGTTCTTTCAGCTCTTTGTTAACTTTCCCAGTGTGTGTACCAAAAACTGTGGAGGGTGAGAGACATTGTTACTGCCTTGTGCTTGCATTGGAATGGAGGTTAAATTTTCCTCAGAACCCAGTTTTCTTTGCAAGACTAAATTGAGGTAGCAGTGTTTATTTGTAAAGTGCATGACTCTTTACAAAGACTCTGAAGAGAGAGGCTGATCTGAATCTAGTTAGTACTGTTTGAAGCAAGGCTTTGCAATGAACCTTTCACTACTCCATATTTACAATATCTTTTGTGAGTGTGTTAGCAGTGGTGTAAAAGCTGCATCACTGATTAATGTTTGATTTTAATAACAATGTTTTCCATTTATGATCTGTGTGTCCTGAGAACCAGAAGTTACTATGAGTGGTAAATTAATATAATACAATCTACAAAGAGGGAGGCTTCAAAAGAAGTTAGCAGGGGTGCTTGATATGTTTTATCTTTGTTCAGCACTTGTGCAAAGCTACATTGCTTAAGCAGTCTGACATTATAAATTAGTTACCCTCTCTCTTCTGATTATCAAAATGCTTAAGTAAGGGGCATGTTTATCTTGATGCCAGGCTAGCTATAGTACTATACTGCTTCCAGGTTCCAGCATTGTTACACTACTTCACACACACAACTCTTCCAATTTCCTGCATCAGATGTAGGTAGGATCAGGTGTGTAGCTGTGGCTTATTCTCCAAGAAAAGCCAGACAAGTGCTAGAGGGTTGACCAAGAACCTTAAAGTGTTGTGGGGATTCCCAGTTGAAACAATAACTTAAAGACACAAATAGTTGGGGTTTATTTAAGCAATCTTAAGAAATGAGTGGAAGTGAAACTGGTGTGACATAGACCGAAATGCAGTTCCTGCACAGAGTACCTTGAGTCAGACTGGGGAGAGCTGCTGTTCCAGGCAGTGTTTGGAGAACACTGAGTAAAGGAGAGCAATCTAGATAAATACCATCTAAAACTACTACTAGCTGGTAGTGTTTGAAGCAGCAATAGATGTACCTTAGGATGTACTCTTAGTGTACAAGCACTGCACTGATGCTTTAACTCCCATGTGTTCTCCAGGCAAGCAGATAGATTTGCTAGAGGTTCCACACACTTACTCAAAAGCTGTCCAGTAGTGAGTAACCCTGAGCAGGTCTGCAAACAAGAATTGATGTAAATAATACGGTCTTCTCTGTTTGACTTAATGATGCAGAACCTCGTCTTAAAAAAAGAGGAATGTAACTACTGGTTTGGAATATTGCACAACCCAAGCCAAAACTGCTGCATGAACTCATGTCTTATTATTTTATCTCTGGACAGATGAAGTGATCCTGGCCCTAAATTGGTGTGTTCTATACACTGCCGTCCTTGGCTAGCCTGAATCTTTTTTTTTTCCCCCAAGTTTTTATGTCTGCAGAAGTTTTCTTATGTTAAGTGTTGTAGTACTTAAAAAATTCAAGACAAAGCTTAACATTAATGAAAATATGGTAAAATCTTTTCCTTCTCCACTCTGCTAAAGAGGGAACCTGGAGTAAGTACAAACAGCTTCACTTTCACAGACTTTTGTTGGTGGCAGCAGAGTAGACGTATAGTAAATGATCTTTACAGAAAGCAATTAGATCAACATGGAGACAACCCCAAATGTTAATGCACTGTAACGTGTTTTCTTAGTCTTTGTCACCAGACTGCAGTATCATGAAGAATGACTTCTTCAAACAGCCTGTAGCCAGTTTTCCTTGCAAACACCAAAGCCCTCAAGCAACATACTGTCTGTGTGAGAGTATATACAGGGAGAGTCAGAAAGCTATGGTAAATGTTCTTTAAGCAGCCAGACTGAAGCACACTGAGTCTGTTAATGTTACTATTCTGTGGCTTGTTTGTTTTTTCCTAGACTGATTCTTCTAGAATAGTTACCTTTTCTCTTCACCTTTCATGCTCTAATAGATGCAGGTTACTCCAGTGCATGTGTTGGTAGCTACTGGAGGATAGTAAAGTCTGTAACATAAAGACATTCGGTTCTTTTTCAATGTAAACATCATTAAGGCACATCCTGTTGTAGCTTTGTAATGTGATAGAAGTCTTCTGTTTTTAATAAAAACAGAGTTGCTGTTGCTAATTTGTGAGGGAAAGGAAATCAACAGAGTAGTGTTTAAATTTAGGATTTCAAGTAGTTTTGTATAGCTCTGCAGTATTGATCTTCATTATCCTTGTCAGCAGCATGAGGCTTTCAGTCTAGGTCGTCCCACTCAGTGCAAACCACAAAATAAGTGGTAAAAGATGATAAACTGTTGCTGCTTGGGGAGAAAAATTGGAGTCATCAAGACTGTTGGAGGATGGGGAGGGGTAACTTTGAACTGTCCTGGTCTGGTCTTGCAGACTGAATGCCTGGTAGTGGTTGGAGTGAATTATGTGCCCTCCTGGAGTATATTTGCTGGTTTAGTTTCATCCAGAAGGAATCCAGTTTATGTGCTCTATCAGAAACTGTTCTGTGATGCAAACCACAGCATATTAAGTGGGACAGTCAGGAAATGTGCATCAAAGCCACACACCTGATCTGAATTAAAATGCTAGTATAGATGCATCCAGACACTGCATTTAAGCTGCCATGTAAGTGCTTGATATGTGTAGAATGTGCAATCTGAGGTCAGCAACAGCATTCAACGTCTAAAAAGCTATATAGTATAGCTGGAAAAGGTACAGAAACAGGTGTAATCAGTGTGGAAATGGCTTCCATGCAGGACAGACTGAAAAACCATAGTACTTTCCAGTTAAGAAAAGAGATGACTGATTATAGCCTATAAAAGGGTGCATGGTAAAGTGAAAGATATTCTTGCTACCTTCCAGACCTTCAGGTGTGTATTTTCTGTCTGTGTGATTTGACTGATCGAATCAAACTTCTGCTCAAGTATACATTTTGTGTCCTCTACACATAGCAGGGTGAGAATGCAGGAGAAAACAGTATGGGACTGTTTTTCCCATATCCATGAGCTCCAACTCTTGGAGGTGTACCGTGATTCCTAGTTACCTCTGTGCTGAACGTTTCAGCTCATTTGAAGCAGAGTGCAGGAAGCGATCTGTGCAGATTTTTGACAAAGTAGAGGATCAGAAACTACTGCATGAAATAGAGGCACTTTTAACTTGTGGATCATTAACAGGACTCTCATTTGTCTGTCCAGGTCAATGTCTTGAGACGGCAGCAGCGCATTATCAAAAACCGGGAGTCAGCCTTTCAGTCACGGAAGAAAAAGAAAGAATACATGTTGGGACTGGAGGCAAGGCTGGAGGCAGCCTTATTGGAGAATGAGAAACTCAAGAAAGAAAACAGCACACTGAAGAGGCAGTTGGATGAAGTAGTATTAGAGGTAAGAGACTGTGATGAAGGTCTGACTTTATATAGACAGTTGCTCAGGTGGAAGACACTTGAACAGAATCATGGAAATGTTGACTGGCAGACCTTTGGGGATTTCTAGCCAAGCCTCCCACTCCAAGCAGACCTTCACCAACTCTAGGTCAGTTGTCACATTACCTAGTTGATTTTTAAGTCTTTATTTTGCGGTGCTTCTGAAGATTTTACTGAGAAGATAGACTGGATAGAAGCTGAATATGATGTACCACAAAAGAGTTTTATTTTTAAGTAGTTCTGGCATGTATTCATACATAAGTAGGCAAATAAATCCAAAAAGCAAGCATAATTTGGTGTATTTAGCTTCTAACACACCTTTGCATGTCTGTGCCCCTTTTTTATTGCATGTCTTCTCTGTTTTTTTCTGTCTAGAACCAGAAGCTCAAAGTATCATCCCCAAAGAGAAGGACCCTGTGTGTGATGGTGATACTGGCATTCATAATGTTGAATTATGGTCCCCTGAGGTAAGCTGCCTGGAAATTTCTCTTTATGTAGCAAGTTTGCTTTCCTGCGATTTTTATTTGAATCATTAATACAGGCACTATTGTGTTTTAAGGCCTTGAGATTGAAACCTGACTTCTGTCCTTTACTCTCCTCCTGCGTAGGGGAAGACTCAAGTGTATAATGGTTAATCTGTTGGAATCTTTCTGGCAACAAGAGCTAGATCTTGTACTTCTAATTTCTCTTGGTTTGGCATTTTGTTAATCAGTGCAGTGTACAGCAGTTTGTCTGCTCCATTTATACCTGAAGAGACGAAAGAGCTGTGTTTAGAATCCTTTTAGAAAAAAAATCACACGCTTTGAGAGCTCATCTGCTTGTTTCTACCTGTGCTAATCTCAATAGCTCTGAGTTTAAGCTGCTTCTAGAACCCAGTGAAGGAAATCCCACTCTTTGTTCTGGTGTTTTGCAATCCTGACCATTAGATGTGTCTAGCAGCAATCTTCCTCATTACAGTGTAAGCCCTGTATTACTTGTCTTCTAGTTCTGGTGAAGATAGTGTTCCCTCTCTTTAATTAGTTGAAGTGGTAATCAAAAACCTCTTTTGTTCTAACTGTATCAGTGGGACATAGGAACCAGAGAGCAGGAAGGAAATGCTGCATTATTTCCCAGACGCTTTATGAAGAAATCTGTGGAAGAAAGGAGAATAAAAAGGGATATTTCTTGCACATATCTGTCTTATTTTGCCTGGCTTTGGAACATAAAGACTTTTTGTACGAAGCTGTTTGCTTTTTCGTAAGGGGAGGATATTTCAGTAGATCCCGTCAGCAGCATCTCCAAAACCCCATACAAACTAAAGGAATAGGGTGGGGTAAATCTGGAGAAAGACTTTGTTTCTGACTAGATAAACTTTTACAGTGTTGGCATTTGTACTTCTAATAATTTCAGAAAATTAGCTAAAGCTGAAATGACTTTCAATGTATTTGCACTTACTGCAAATACTGTTTATCCCAGGCAGTGGAATACAGCTGATAATTTTACTTTGATATGGATGGTTTTAAGGTAGACTGTTTCTTAGTGCACTTAGGGTTTGTACTGGGATTTTTGACTATCAGGCAGAAAAATCAGCTTCCAGACATTAAGCAATTGATTTGTACATCCCATCTGCATTTACAAACGTTACCGCTTACTTGAGACACACTTGGTGGGAACTAATAGAACCAGTTACCATTCTGAAGCTGGGAGAAATTTTAGTTGCCTCCACATTACAGTGAGGAGTTGAAATGCATGAAGCTCTTGTTAGTTCTGAGAGTCTTGGAAACATACAGAAAATGGGTGGGAAGTCTTTTTTGCCACAGTGCTCTAAAGTTCCTAAGTTCTAATCCTAAGGAATGAGTAAGGTGTTGAACTTAATGTCAAGAAACTGCTGTCAAAGTAGATTGAAAGGTGAGTTTGTGTTCATATCTTTGCAGCAATCAGTAACTATAGAAATGTGACAAAGTTAATTCCTTGATCTGTTTAATAAGATAAAGCAAAAAGAAATTATTGGGTGTCTGGCCAAGCATGCCAGTGTAATCGTTGTGCCTGAACTAGGTGGTTTGCATCAGTACTGGATTTGGGCAGCGAAGAGAAATGTAATTGCAAGTTTGCAGGGAATTGCTCTTTCTGCTTTTTTTTTTTTTTTTCTTCTTAGAAGAATAAATGCTTGCACTGCAATTAAAATACTAGACTGTATCAAGGTGGTGTGAATGTTGATTGTGCAATACCCTTTGGAAGTCCTAGAATGTGGTATATATAAACCATTACTTAAGATTTCATTGCTCCCATACACATTTTCTTCCTTTTATAGAGGTGTCACTGGTAGCTCTACGAACATGATAGTCATGATTGCTGTTCTGCCTAGACTGTAACAACAGAAGTTTCCAATACATGTGATGGTTTTCAGTCCCTGCAACTCCTTACAGAAATAAGTAATTTTTTGTTATAATACCCATGCTAGCTTATAGTTCAGCAAAAGTACATTTTCCCTGAGTTAGCTAACTGCAATACCTAATTTCTATGGAGTGGTCAACTGGAGATAAGTATGATTTGAAACTTTGTGACGGTTTTGCCATTTCTTCTGAGTAGGAGATAATTTCACTTGCACACCTGTATGGAGGTTTGATGGCATTCGGGCACAGGATATTTTGATTCAAACATTAGTGGTGAATATGTTATTATTTAAAACCAATGACCCATTGCAAAGGGAAAGTAACATCCAAAAAAAATCAGAAAAATGGGATATTCACCCCATAAATACTGGCCTTACTGTAAGATGCTTCTCAGTTTCTTGATTGGAATCAATAGGATTCTTTGGAGGCTAGAGGTAAAACAAAAGAACAGGTATAGATAGTTTTCTCTTTAGCTGCCTATTTCTGTCAAATCACAGAAGGCAGGGAAGTGCTCAGGTTTTCTGGGGACAGAGGTGTGAAGCTGAAGGACAGTCAGTCCTACAAACCCTCCATGGCCTGCAGTGGTTCAGTAGATGTGCGGTGCAGTGTTGGGCACTTGGCATCCCACAAAAAAACATCTGGATGGTGGGCCGTGTAGTTAGTTCTATGTTTTCTTCCTCATTAGTTGGATGTGTGTTGTACTAGCACTGGTTCACACGTAATTTTGTTTATTGGTCTTAAGTCTTGTTGACTGTATGTAAGTGGTGAGATGTTTTTGATGTTTCATGGAGGACTCAGGCTGTGCTGTCCTCCTGTTTTAAGATTATGGGAAGCAGTCCACAATGTGGCAGCCCTTGGCAAACATGTTTAGCAGATTAAATTATTCTATTGACACATTTTTTCATGCTGACAAATATACCATGTGTGTATGGGTAATCTGTAACATTGAATATGGGAACTGGGATGAAAGTCTGGTAGGGAAGCTGGTGTATCAATGCAAGAAACCTGCATGAAATTATGGGAGGGAGAGTCTAGTTCAGTCTACTTAATTGCCAACAAGCTTTTCAGAACATCCCTCAGTCTTGGACATGACACCATGTTATCTCTGAGAAAAGAATATAAGTTGAATTAAATACAAATTGAATATAAAACTGAATTGAATATTTTCTGATTGTGAAAGTGGCTTGTCTAGAGTTAATGGTAACTGCATTATATTGTACTGTGTTACTAAATTCTTCTGAGTATGTTGATAATTTGTATAGAAAACTGAAACTTTCAGTTATTAAAAGCAGAAGTAATTTAGAAGGAATTCTATTAGTGTAAGTTTCTATGTTATCAGTTTGCTTTATACTAGAAGATAGGCGCCCAGGAATTTCCCATCTGTGTGTCAATGAACTATTATCTAATCTTTGTGAATTTTTTGAATTTGCATTTAACATCTATAAAAACTTCATTTTATTATTATTTAAGAATGATGGGTGAGGTGTATGAAGGTAAAAGGGTACATTTTGATTCAGTTCCTTGCAGAGGTCACCCCATTGCCCCAGTCTTGCATACCATGAGGTGCCAGACAGGAATTGGCAACCCACAGTATTTGCACAAAAGGCTGTGAGCACACAAACCTTGGCGTGCAGCAGGGTTAGAGCTGGAACCACAACATCTGGAGGCAGGTATCTGCGGGAGGCAGTGTCTCCTGCCTTTGTGCTTGCTGTCTGAGAGAGCCAGTGTCAGTAAGCACGGCTGTGTTCTCAGCTGGCATGGTGCCCCTGAAAGATGGCTGTCTTCTGGCATTAAAAACCATCTAATTAGCTGTGCATTTTTTTGTTTTACATGAAATTTGAAAAATTACAAACTATTAAAATTCCTAGATGCCGCTTTTTTTTTTTTTTCCTCTTGTTTAATTTCCACATTTGGTTTGATTGTGCCTGGTTAGGTAACCAGATCTGAAAATGCCTTAAACAAGCACAAACAATGCTGAAACAAATGGACACCAAGCACATGTTCTAGTTAAAACAATCCATATATTTATTTTGGGGATATTTTTCTTTTGTTTCTCTTCCCTGTTCCTTTGTGGATATAAACTGACTTGTGTGTTTAGGTTTTTTAATGCAAGTCCTACATGTGATAGTAAAATATTTGCAGGAAACTAACCCAACTAATGTATAAAACATATGGAAGAGAGAAGGATCACAGAAGATGCAGAAGGTAAATTTTCTGCATCTCTGCTTCTTGAGGCAATAGCAGCAAAACGTGTAAGCCAGGTACTTGCTAGTGGCCCTGGCATTATTTTCTTGGCTATGAAAAATGTTCAACTAGTTATTTTTTGTCCCCCTAATGAGTCTGCGCAAGCTTACATAGTGGTCATCATCTAATGGCAGTCTTGGAGCATTTATAAAAATGTCAGCCAGGCAGAATATGTTCTAACTACCATTTCAGATATTTAGTGAACAGAAAATAAAGAAAAAAATGTGAAGTTGGAGAGAGGAAAGGCAGATCTGCAAAGTGATTGGAACAGGGGGTTTGAGATGGTGGTGAGATGGGGTTTTTCTTAATTAATTTTGTTTTTTTTCTTACAAGTCAGCTACCTCTGTATGGCTGGAACCCCTCTCAAACTGGGAAACAGACTTGATGATGTAACCAAAAATTCTTAAGCTGTGTTTGTGGTAGAGGATGACTGAGGTGGTGATTGATAGAGCTAAGTAAAGCTGCTGCTTCAAAATCTGTTTGTGTCCTGTTGACCTACAGCAGCTGTGCTAGAATTGCTGGCTTTTTGTAGAGACTTCATTTCAGCTCCTCTGTAGAGTGTGCTGATGGTTTTCCTCTACTTTCCAGGACTATCCTGGAAATTGAATAATCTGTTAAAAATCTAGATCCAGTGAGCAATCTGCAAATAAACACACCAGCCTGAGTAGTTGAGAATTATGATTTGTCTGCTGTTGTTGTAGACTTCAACAAATGAAGCAGTAGTTTTTGACTCCTTAAGGGTGCGTCTCATTTCTTAGATTGCTAGCACAAACATTATGAAGAAGAACCAGAAGATTAATCATCTTTTACTAAAAATGAGGAAATCGCCCAGGTGTTGTTCAGCTGCATGC